TTTTTTTTTTTTTTTTTCCGAAACGATAGAAACCTGAAATTCTCTCAATCGGAGTTCTCACTTCCGAAATATTATTATCCAGTTTCAATCTCAAAATAACATTTTAATTTTTGGTTTTTAACATATTTTTAAACTTCACGCCAGAAATTGGGATATATTTTCTCGCGCTGAAGTAGAGAATTGAATAGTGTTGCGGCGCTACATTTTTTTTAATAAAATGTATTTTAATGTAATAGAGAGAATATTTTTATTTTCTTTTAATTTTTCTTTTTTAAGTGTATTTTAATGTAATAGAGAGAATTGAACAGTCTTGCGCCATTTATATATGTATATTTAATTCTTAAGGAATGGATTGAACAGTGTTGCGCCATATAATGTGTGTTAGTAAATGTGTTTTTATGCTAAATAATTTTGTGCGGTGTATTTTTTATGCTAAATAATTTTGTATTTTTTTATTTATTGATGTATTATAATTTTATTTTATAAATTTTTAATATTAAAATGGTACCATTTGAATAAGAAATTAACACATTCAAACAAGTAGATGTTACTAAAATCAAAAGTTTACAATATATTTTTATTATTTGAGTAATAAATATTTTATTTAATATTAAATATACATATATATAAAAACTCATTTGAAAGATAAATAAAATAAACTTTTATTATTTATGTAATAAACATTTATGTGCAATTAAATATGCATATATACCAGTTTATTTGAATAAAAATGATTAAAAAAATAATATATTTGATGTAGAGTAAAATATAGAGATAAGGGCTGGAAATGAATGTACAACTCTACTCCAAAATAGAGTAAAGTCCGCGCTAGAGTAGAGATAAAGGCCGGAGACGGTCTAACCGCCTAAAGCTTTTTGTGTCTTCTGGAGATTCAAAATCCACGAGAGGCTATCAAATACAAGATTGAGCAGTCACAAGACTCACAACTCGCAACTTGGCCAAACTTTTGGGGCAGACAAAAAATAAAAAATAAAATATCATTTCTAATTATGTCTGTAATATTTCATTTCATGCCAAACAAGGAGTGCAGGAAACTAATGATACCATCATCCAACAAATTAGGGCTAAATTAGGGCTCTGTACAGGTACAATGATATCAATTATCACCTAATGCATCATAACACATTATATGTTCAATCACTCAGCTATTTCTTCATTGGGATGGAAAAAGTTGGGAAGAAAAATGACCCAAACAAAATTATTCGAAAAAAAAAAAGGTCTGAAGAGTTGATTACAAAATTTCTCGTTCTCGGAATAATTCGTATCATCGTATGGTTGCCGTGACTATCATTCGACTTGCAGAAAGCCAATACAGCAGAATTCCATGCTCGAACGGTAACTGAACTGTGTAGACGATTAGATTAGAAAACTAAAAAAGATTCTTGACGTACAACATGCCCTAGGACAGGCTCTTGATGCCCACTTAAAAATGCCCGGTTCCTTCCTCGCGTACCAACCTGCATGAACAACACATTAAGAAACTAAGTTGCTATCTTCAGGATGTTTTTTTTTTTTTTTTTTTTTTGGTTCTTTTTTCCTTAGGGATGTTTGTTTAAACACCTGCATTATAATTTATTACAGGAGTCTGCCTTAACCAGTAAAAATGGGACCTTATGAAACGAAGTGACTAATAAACAATCGAATCCTTCCCTCTGTTCTCCAATTTATTAACATGAAAGCAACACCTCTTTTTTTTTCAGAGAGAGAGAGAGAGAGACGAAGGCAGAGACCTCTGCTTGTAACCTCTCTAGCAATTCACATAACCTTTATCGCGTTGAAACGACTTTTAGGCCATTTGAGGGTGGAAAGATAAATAATGGCTACTTTTGTGGAAATTCGATTTATAGCCCTTTTTTTTTAATTTCTGGGATATGCAGAAACAATTTCTGGGATACAAATACAATTCAATTTCTTGTATCCCAAAAATAAAAAGGTGGCAATATATCATTTTTTCAACAAAAAGATACTATTTTCCATTTTTCCAGCTAAATATCCAACCCACTGTTAACTATTTTTTTTCATAAATTTGAAAAAACTGAGGCATAGCTACATTGATACAAAACAAATCAGTAACCGTACTCCACTTCAACATCATGTCCACTAATAAATTCACCAAAAAAGAAAAAAGCGAGATGCATCTTACCCAGGCCGTTCGTTCACGTAGGTTCCCGACTCGCACGAATCTCCTGGAGCAGCAGCGCCCTGGCCCGGTTGATGGCCGCAAAGCACAGAAACACATGCTCCTCGAGATCCTCGAGCTGTTGCACCAGGCTCGCCCGGTTCCTACCGAGCTGCTTCAGAACCTCCTGAATCGAGTACCCATCGAGCCCTCTCTCCACCCCTAACCTCACCAGTAACCTATCGTTCTCCACCGCTGCCTGCAGCCTCGCCACCAACCTCTCAATCGTGTCCACGTCATTCCCCAGCACGTACGCACCTTTGGCTGCCGCATCCAGCTGACTCAAATGCACCAACTCCTTTTTACCCACACCATAAGGCAGAATGACAGGCGGGCACATGGGGCCTGCCACAAGTGCCACGAGAGCATGCGCACCTATGGCCACGGCAGATATAGCAACGCCCACAGTAACCACAATAAGGCAGACAGCGGACCCCACCGAGCACCGGCGCATTCGGTTAAGCGTCGATCGGGATTTTTTGAGCCGGCGGTCGAGCTGCCGCCTGAGGTCCAAGAAGCACGAACGCATTACATCGAAGTTGAGGGAGTCGGGGGGTAGAAACGGGTTTTCCAGCTGGTCAAACCGGACGAAGGCCTCGAAAGCCGCCTCGCACTGGGAGGTGGAGAGGGAGTGCGACCCGGAGTCAAACGGCAGGTGTTCGATGAGGCCGTGCACGGGGCCGTAAGCGAGTCGGACATGTTGAATGTCGTGGTACAAGTGCAGGCACAGGTGGGAGGTCTGCTCACTCTGTTCGAAGTAGGTGGTGACGAGACGGGAGAGGGAGCCAGGGGCGATTTGGGAAAGTGCTTCCTGGACGTGCTCGCGGCTCGGCTGGAGGACATTGTACAGGCCAGCGTGGCCGGTCTCGACATGCTGGTCGGGGGGGATGTTGGCAGACGGGTCGAATGTTCTGCGGATTTCGCTGTAGGAGTTTGTTTGGAGGGCGCGAGTGTATTCGCGATTGAGGTTGATGGTGGGCGAGAGCTGGACGCTAGATGCAGGCGTATTGTCCCCTGAATGAACTGGAATAGTTTTTTTTTGTTTTTTTGGGTGTGTGTGTGTGTAAGTATCAGTATGAGCTCAACAACTGGAGAAGCAAAAATAACCTGATTATGCTTTAAGGTACTCTTTATATGGATTTTAGCTACTTCTTTTTGTGATGATAAAAAGGTTTCTGGAGAGTTAAATTACCTTGTGAAGCTGGGGAAGATATATTATTGCCTGCCGATGGTACGGATGGCTTCAAACAAGGGAGCATCGATCGTTGTCCTTTAATGATGGACATATCCAGAACTGTAGCCAAGAATCATAACTGCATAAACACTGGATAACTCAATATTCCATCAGGACGCATTTGATCCGGCACAAACTGCAACATGTGAATATCCTCAAACTTTCTTCTACAAAAATTCGTGCTACAAGACGTGGAAATGACAGAAAGATACAAACTAATGGGTAAGTTAAAGCAAGGTATCTTCTTCCCTCAATAATAGTTTCCAGGCTTCTGAAATAACTCAATCATACAAATCAAATAACTTCACTGCCATTTGGCTCAAGTAAATCTTCATAATGAAACGTTCATGAGCAAGTAAAGGCAGTACGAGTCAAGAGAATTTCACTATCTTCAGATGCGAAATTTATACATGAGGGATCAGCATTTACAACCAAGATCTCTGAAAGTCAAAGATTGATAAACTGCACACAACTCGGTGCACCTTCCATTAAAAACACTAAAACCACCTCATGGACATGGCCCAAATATGAGATTCCTACTCTTTTCGGCGACACATCAAAATGTACTGTTCTCTAATCGATACGCTTACATGACCTCCCGATAGGTAGGTTAAGGGAGAAGGAATAAAAGGCCATTTAAAACTACTTGCCAAACCAATCTCATCAAATTATGGAGCTCAACATTATTGGGATACTGCCGACCAACTCGGCAAGATGGTGGCAACTGAATTTTCATACCGAACTCGCTAGCAAGTTTCAATTTCAATCATTCAAAAACCACATAACTGTTTCCGGCATTGAATCAAAGCTTCTACGGTATCACATAATCAATCACCCGAGAACTATAAAATGTATTAACAATTTCAGCAGGCTACGGCATTTGATTCTTTACTAATGACCCTAATTTCACCAAAAAAAAAAAAA